TTGGTTCTTTTACCCCTCAAATTATGTTCCTCTCTCTCTCTCTCTCTCTCTCCTGTATTTTATCTGTTATTATTCACAATTTTCTGTCTTCGGAAAACAAACCAAGCGTCACTTTCAGTTGCAGAGCAGCTATGGGAAGCTGGAGAGTTCACCTAACCCAAATTCGCAGATCCCACATTGTACTAAGTTGTTGTTCATCAATAGACAAAAAGATTGAGTCTTGAACTTGAAACATATCGAAACTCTATAACATGGGATCTCTCAAGATTCACATTTGCAGCCCTTAACGGAGTTTCCCCTTTTCTTTTTTCTTCCTTTTTTTTACAGTATTTACCAAATGGGTTCTTTAAAAATCTAATCTTTAAGGCCTTTTCCTCACTATCTACCCTTCTAGACGATATTTTCCGCTCTGGGTGGGCTGGGCCATCATAAAAATGGCTGCTTTAGAAATAACCCACATAGATTTAGAATGCGGCCGCCGGAGCTCCGCCGTCGACGCCGGTGAGGAGGGGGAGGAGGATGAAGAAGTGGGCAGTGTATGCTTTTCCGACGGGTCGTCAAATTCCCAGTTCTACTCCACCATCGACGGTGAAGGGTCGTACGATGATTACAGCTTTGCGGGTCGGTCCGAGATTTTGGAAGAGGATGCTTTGGAAAAAGGAGAAAAGGGAGAATTTGAGGCTGTGGATTTAGAATGTGGTGAGAAAAAGGAGAGTCTGAGTAATTTAGAGAGAGATTGCAGGATTTGCCATTTGAGTCTCATTAGTAGCAGCCCTACTTCTGGTGTGCCCATTGAGCTTGGCTGTTCTTGTAAGGACGATTTGGCTGCTGCCCACAAGCATTGTGCTGAGACTTGGTTCAAAATCAAAGGAAACAAGTAAGTTTGTCTAAATGGGAACTATTAAAAAAAAAAAGAATCTTGAATTTATCTTGAATTTCATGTTTTTTTATGTGTATTTGGTGTTTGAGTGTGGGTGTAAATGTTTTCTTCTTCGAATTGTTAGTATGGTTTGTTGTGCCTTTGTGTGGGAAATTTGATGTTTGTGAGGGCATTTAGTAAAATTGATATTTCTTAAGGTCTCATTTAGTTAATATTCCTTATAGTTGGCCATTGTTATATACCCATTGAAGTATGGAGAAGTGTATTGGTGGATAATTGCTATGCTTGGTTTGTCTTTCACACACTAAGCTATTCCTTTGGTTGAAAGGAAATGTTGAAAACTGTATATCATTTGCAGCATATAAGGAAAAAAAAAACGAATCTTGAATTTATGTCGAATTTCATGTCTTTATGTGTATTTGGTATTTGTATGTGGGTGTGGATGTTTTCTTCTTCGAATTGTTAAGTATGGTTTGTTCATTGTTGTGCCTCTGGTGAAATTTGATGTTTGTGAGGCATTTAGTGAAATTGATTTTTTAAGGTCTCATGTAGTTAACTTTGGTGGGTGTTGAGAACTATGGAGTTACTGGAAAAAAGACTTGAACTTTGTCATTATCAAAATGCAGAGTGATAAAAAGTAAAGCAAAATGGGTGTGAAGCAACAAGGCTAATAGCTTCTACAGTTTTACGTCTAATTTGCATAGTCGATGGCTTTATGTTACATCGGTTTAGTGTGTTTTTAGCTGCTTGTTTGTTCATCCTTGAGAAGAATCTTTTCTTTTCTTTTCTTCTTTATTAAAGTGGTGATTTTGACACCCATCAGAGGCACGATATTTTTTTTTTTCCGATTAGATATTTTTCCCGTTTACTTTCTGCCGATCCTCAAACTCAAATGGGTTTCAACGACCATCTTTGGATTCCCAAAAAAAAAGAAAAAGAAAGAAAAAATCGTCACTTTATTGAGTCAAATTATAGATATTTTGATATGAGAATGGTAACTAGTAAGTAGCAACCTTATTTCGATTCGAACCTTATTCCTATTCGAACCTTATTCTGATTTAGTTTGCTGTTGTATTGAAGCCTTGAATTGTACTTTTAGGTAGGAAAAGATGAAGATCGCGGTTACTATTCGAGAAACACGATAAATTGCCATTTGTTCTCGAATCAGCTGTGAAAATTTGTTATTTTTTTCTTTAAGGGCATTTTCACTATTTTTTTGTCATTTTTACAGGACTTGCGAAATCTGCAATTCGGTCGCGCGAAATGTGGTGG